GAAGATGTGTGGTTTTAGGAGAATGCATGTACTGGTTGACAACACTAACAACATAAGTTATATTTGGCCGAGTGAGGCAGAAATATAGGAGCTTTCCTACCAATCGCTGGAACATAACCTTGTCTTCAAGAAGCTCCCCACTCTTTGCACTAATCTTGTGGTTCCGTTCAATGGGTGTATCTGCAGGCTTGACACCTAGCTTTCTAGTTTATGCCAACAGGTCTAGGACATATTTCCTCTGAGAGATAAATATCCCCTGTTTGGATCTAACAACCTCAATACCCAAAAAATACCGGAGTACACCAAGGTCTTTCACCTCAAATTCTTGATGAAGGAGCTGTTTAAGGGACTCAATCTCATGGCCATCATTCCCTGTCACTACAATATCATCAACATATACTGCTAGTAGTGTCAAGGAGGACTCTACCCTCTTGATAAATAGACTGTGATCTGACTGAGCCTGTACGTAACCAAATTTCACAAGGTCTATCGAACCAAGCCCTACGTGACTGCTTCAAACCATACAAAGCCTTGTTGAGCCGGCAGACCTTCTTACCTGTTTTTGCATCATAGAATCCAGGAGGCAAACGCATGTAAACCTCTTTCTGCAGGTCTCCATTCAGAAAAGCACTTTTCACGTCCATTTGGTATAAAGGCCAAGTGTGACTCGCTGCAAGGGATAATAGGACCCGAATGGTAGTCATCTTGGCTACCGGGGCAAAGGTCTCCAAGTAATCTGTGCCATAAGTCTGTGTGAACCCTTTTGCAACTAACCGAACCTTATACCTCTCAATGGAGCCATCTGCATTATGCTTCATCGTAAATACCCATCTGCATCCAACTGGTTTCTTTCCTTTAGGCAGATCAACTACCTCCCAGGTGTTATTTTTCAACAGGGCATCCATCTCAACCTGCATTGCATCTTTCCATTCCGGGACGGATAGGGCTTCATGCACTGTTCTTGGAGTAGGGACATTAGAAATGGAACTAAGGTAGGACCTGTAGGTAGGAGATAGGCGATCATAGGATAAGAACTAGGAAATACAGTGGGCTGTAGATGTGGTACAATGTCGTTTCCCTTTACAAACAGCAATTGGAAGGTCAAGGTCATCTGTAGGAGGTGAGATGGTAACAATAGAGGAAGTCTCTGTGGGCCCTGGGACTGTAATACCTGGACTTGGAGTTGTAGATGAGATTGGAGCTGGCCTGGACTGCTGATGATCGGGATCAACCTGCCTGCACTGCCTGTGATAGACCCTCAACTCCTGATCCCTCTGACCACCCTCACCATTGCAGCTCTCCCTCAACTCCTGATCCCTCTGACCGCCCTCACCATTGCAGCTCTCATCACCCAATGGAATAGGTAAAGGAACTGCCCCACTCTCACTGCTCTCCCCCTAAAGACAAGGACTCAAACCCCCACTCTCACTGCTCTAGAATGGTTCGGCCTCCCTCTCCAGATAGGTCCAACCTATCTTCTCTGATAGAACTTCTCTTAGAAAATAAATAACTTACAAGGAAAAATTGTTCGCTGCCTTCTAAGGTTACCCGAACCCTAGTCTTCTCTGATCCTTCCTGACCACCAACACTCTGCAACCATAACAAGCTTCTAACAGCTGCTAGCACTTCTGGCGATCTCCAAGAATCAGTCTGCGAACTCCACCTTTTCA